AAATTCCAATTAGAGAGGAAACTTTATTCTTTTATCAAACACAAATGCACCAGGAAATTTACAATCTGATGTGTATTATCAAGGATACCTAACTTTAAGAAATTCATGTAATATGTATACACTTGAAACAAAATTTTCACAGACACCTGACTATAACCTGACTATACAGACACCTGACTAAAGCCTGACTTTACAGACACCTGACTAAAGCCTGACTTTACAGACACCTGACTAAAGTCTGACTTTACAGACACCTGACTATAACCTGACTATACAGACACCTGACTAAAGTCTGACTTTACAGACACCTGACTATAACCTGACTATACAGACACCTGACTAAAGTCTGACTTTACAGATACCTGACTAAAGTCTGACTTTACAGACACCTGACTATAACCTGACTATACAGACACCTGACTAAAGCCTGACTTTACAGACACCTGACTATAACCTGACTATACAGACACCTGACTATAACCTGACTTTACAGACACCTGACTATAACCTGACTATAACCTGACTATACAGACACCTGACTAAAGCCTGACTTTACAGATACCTGACTAACCTGACTTTACAGACACCTGACTATAACCTGACTTTACAGACACCTGACTATAACCTGACTTTACAGACACCTGACTATAACCTGACTTTACAGACACCTGACTATAACCTGACTTTACTGACACCTGACTATAACCTGACTTTACAGACACCTGACTATAACCTGACTTTACAGACACCTGACTAAAGCCTGACTTTACAGACACCTGACTAAAGCCTGACTTTACAGATACCAGACTAAAGCCTGACTTCAAAGACACCTGACTATAACCTGACTTTACAGACACCTGACTATAACCTGACTTTACTGACACCTGACTATAACCTGACTTTACAGACACCTGACTATAACCTGACTTTACAGACACCTGACTATAACCTGACTTTACAGACACCTGACTATAACCTGACTTTACAGACACCTGACTAAAGCCTGACTTTACAGACACCTGACTAAAGCCTGACTTTACAGATACCAGACTAAAGCCTGACTTTACAGACACCTATAACCTGACTTTACAGACACCTGACTATAACCTGACTTTACAGACACCTGACTATAACCTGACTTTACTGACACCTGACTATAGCCTGACTTTACAGACACCTGACTAAAGCCTGACTTTACTGACGTCTGACTAAAACCTGACTTTACAGACACCTGACTATAACCTGACTTTACTGACACCTGACTATAGCCTGACTTTACAGACACCTGACTAAAGCCTGACTTTACTGACATCTGACTAAAACCTGACTTTACAAACACCTGAATATAACCCGACTTTACTGACACCTGACTATAACCTGACTTTACTGACACCTGACTAAAGCCTGATTTTACAGACACCTGACTATATCCTGACTTTACAACACCTGACTTTATAGACACCATAACCTGACTTTACAAACACCTGAATATAACCAGACTTTACTGACACCTGACTATAACCTGACTTTACAGACACCTGACTATAACCTGACTTTACAGACACCTGACTATAACCTGACTTTACTGACACCTGACTATAACCTGACTTTACAGACACCTGACTATAACCTGACTTTACAGACACCTGACTATAACCTGACTTTACAGACACCTGACTATAACCTGACTTTACTGACACCTGACTATAGCCTGACTTTACAGACACCTGACTAAAGCCTGACTTTACTGACGTCTGACTATAACCTGACTGTACAGACACCTGACTATAACCTGACTTTACTGACACCTGACTATAGCCTGATTTTACAGACACCTGACTAAAGCCTGACTTTACTGACGTCTGACTAAAACCTGACTTTACAAACACCTGAATATAACCTGACTTTACTGACACCTGACTATAACCTGACTTTACTGACACCTGACTAAAGCCTGATTTTACAGACACCTGACTATATCCTGACTTTACAACACCTGACTATAACCTGACTTTACAGACACCTGACTTTATAGACACCATAACCTGACTTTACTGACACCTGACTAAAGTCTGACTTAATAGGCACCTGACTATAACCTGACTTTACTGACACCTGACTTTAAAAATTGCTTGATTTTAAGAACATCCTCCAAAGAACTTCAGATTCATAAAAGACTGTTTTGGTATAGTTTAGTCGTGTTTTCAAAATGGCTGTCACATATATATACATTACTGTCAATATACTACCACACAAACCAAAACTTGTTTGATCTTAAAATCTTCCTCCAAAAAAAAAAAGAAAGTTTTCTTACCTGGTCAATACTGTAGGATTTGTATTATGTAATATAAGGTTTACTTTAAGTACAAATAAATTGATAAGACTTGATTTTTTTTAACACAGTGTATTTCAATCATCTATGTTGTACTCGGGGCCCTGGCCTTACGTAACTGTCAACACTTTCAGACACAAGGTAAACATTGATTGAGTGTTATTGTGTATTATCGTGTAAAGACACCATTTGTTAAGGAATATTTACTTCATGGCAACGAGAAAGTGTAAACGATAATGCATGTATTTTAGTGTCAAGACTTTCAGTTTCAGATCTTTGGTGTTTTTTTCCAATTCAGTTTCAAACAAAGAATAAAGATTTATTAAGACTTGTGTAGTTATCGTTGAGTGTTAAATACATACAATATTATTACAAAGTTCTTTTTTAAGTGGACTACACAGTATTAAAATTAGATGGGTTTTAACTGTACGTAGAAATACATTTTTACCTTCTTTAGCTACATGGGAGGAGGGCTGATGGATATCTTTATCAAACTTGTAGGTTCCAATAATGATCCCTCTAAGTTGTGACCGTTTGATTTTGGAAATGATCCGGAAACAGAAATGGGGAATTTTCCTTCAGTAGACATTTCTCAATATTCAATATTAAGTAGAAAATTTTAGGCAGCAAGTATCTGATATTAAACATTCAGGAAGAAAAAAATCAGTTGCAACATTCAGAGACTTCAAAAACAAGTACTCAGAATTCAATATTTATTATAAAATGTCATGTAGTATTCAACATTTGGAGGGAAAATGAATATTCATTATCCAAGGAAATGTATTCAGTATTCAGCTTTAATTCAGGAAATGTAGAAATGATAAATATTCAATAATTAGGGAAAAAAATCAAGTATTTCCTACTGAGGAAGAATCAACATCCAATCAATTCATTGTTTGAGTTAGTGCAACACTCAATATTCATTATATTTCACACTGTTCAGTGTAAGACCAGATCACATCTATAAACCCATTCTAATGTTAAGTCTGTTGACAGAACAGTGTCCACCATGTCTAGTTTTCTTGTGTGAGACTAATTAGAACTCATTAGTGGGATAAACCAGAATTTAACGTAGGATTCTATTATACTAATCAAAGCAACTTAATAACATTTTATATAAGTCATTAGTCCCAATATAAGATTCAAAACATGCCTGCCTTGGTAAAAACAAGAGTATTGCTGATCATGATTGGTTCAGTCAAGGTCACTTCTGCTCTTGACCACCACTTTGGGCCCTTCCTATGAGGATTATACCCTACCATCCATATAAATGAATCAGAATCTTTCATGATTAAAGCTTTTCATGTCTTCATATAAATGGAAAACATTTGATGGGATTTCCTGTGGTTTTGCCTTTAGTAACAGTGTTTCTATTAGTCAGATATAATTACAGACTAAGTGGACATTTGTGTTGGTATAATGGTAATTATGGCTTTGATTTAATCGATGCATTTCATCAATATCCAAGACATCTACAACAAATCATGTTCAGTTTAACAGTATGTTTTTCTATACCTGTTATGATAAAATTTTACCACATACCAGGAATTCCAATAAAAAAAATTATATTTTCACAAATTTACCTATTAACCTAGTTGAATTCATGTTTTACAGTGAAATGTGTTGCTACATTGTTAGAAATGATGTAAAAATGGCCAGATTTTTCCAGCAATGGACAGTCATCATCAGGTTTTAAACGAAATTGATTGACTCTATAGCATCTTTGTCTGTCCCATTTGAGCATTTACTTAAGAATGTTGTCAGCTGCCCCCCCTCCCCTCCTTGACCTTTGAAATGATCTTCTTTTCTGGTCTTCATTTACTCTTGAAGTGTGGATTTTGTCTCAGACTTTCATTAGTGTCGTTGCATCCTGTAATTAGTATTTAGAGAGAAAGTAGGATCATGGATTCCCTACTCATCCCTTGTATGTAGTGGTATCTTGATATAGGGAGTGGAAGTGGGGACATTGATTCACGATACAGACACTAATGTGATGCTCTTCTCACCAGACAACTGCAGTGTCAGCTGCAATTATTCAATATGTGATAAAAAGGATACAGATATGCATTTTACCTGAGATTTCAAAAGTTCTCTCCCTTGAAAAATTACATTAACATTAACAGTTGACATGAAGACAAAATTCGCAAAGAACTGATATGTAGACAAAATATGAAATTAGTTCATGACTATCGTACATAGAGTTCAATGGAAAAAACAAGTTTAATTGCAAAATACTAACAATTACATATTTAAGCTAACAATACTGAAAGTCTGGTTTTCTTTCAGCCAAAATAGAGCAATAGTACTTATATAATCCCAGGATAGCGAACATTTTCATATTCTCAAAGTCGGGCATGCATGTTACTTAAGCTTTGATAGGAAAATTGTTTTAATTTCATGCTTGTATCAAAGAAAAACTGATTTGCAAACTGAATGAATGGGATAAGTTTGCATTTTGCACACAATCAATGAAAAATTAATCAAATGACAATAAATAACATTGGACTCTGATTACATATCACAGCAATATACCTGGATTGACTAAGAATGAACATGCATGAGTTTGTTGCTAAATGAATAGGTTTGTTTCGTAAGATGACTTCTAGAATTTCCTTTTCCTGTTCTGTGTTAATTGTTCTGACCGTATGGTTCTTTCTGTATCTTTCAGTATGTTCTGGTACGAATGAAGGCATGTCAACAGCTGGATCAGAAAGTTTCCGATATAACAATCTCAAAAATCATTACCAGAACTGTACCTATGTGGACGGAAACTTGGAAATCCAGGAGCTTGGTTCTAATCGGGACTTAAGTTTTCTGGAAAATATTGTCGAAGTACGTGGATATGTACTCATATATGCCGTTTTCACACGGACACTACCACTCAAACGACTTCGGATAATTCGAGGAAGTGAACTTCACAACTATAACAAGGGAAATTACAGTTTGTTTGTTGTGTTAAACAGTTTTTCAAATTCATCTTCTATTGGAATGTTTGAACTTGGATTACGATCTCTACAAGGTAGGTATCAATTTCATCTTTTCTTATTAACTTATCAGTACTTAAAAAAACTACTTCTTCGATATGAATAGAATTAATTTAACCGAACTTTATTGAAACATTTAAGAGCAAGGAAAATTCAGTCATATAGCCGTAAAGGGTATTTATCGACCTGTGTGTAGAGTGATTTTCAGCTAGTTAGATTAAATCTTTGAAAGACTACTCCTTAAGAAGAATTAAAATTATTTTAACAGAACTTTGTATGAAAATGGGTAATATTCCTAAGAATATTGAATTCTTGATTGTGATTGTTGATGATATCAGGAGAGAATTATGATAACATTTATTGTCATATTCCTGATAAATGATGTTCGGATATTCCAAAGTATTATAGAATAAGAAACTAGAACTCTTGATTGGCTGCAAAAATAAAGAACAAGATAAACTATTGCCAATTTTGCCCTTTTCTTAATGTGGTGAAAATAAGAGGGTGGCTAAAATTTAGATATGACTACACATTATTGTGCTTTTAGGGTGAAATTGGGAGATAACAATTATTTCATATCAGAGGGTAAAAATAACCCTGTGCAATTGTTTCCCTGTAGAGTTTTATAATACTCTGCTTATTGTGAGTAGTGATATTTATGTTTTGTTTCTATTTTACAGAAATCAGCAATGGCCAGGTTTATTTTTTTAATAATGAGCTGCTGTGTTTTCACAAGACAATACACTGGGCAGATATCAATCCCGACGTTAACCCACATGTTAAATATGTGTTTGATGCCTCGTATAAACGCACATGTAAGTGTACTCAAAATTACAGGAATTTAACCAGTTTATCATCAGTCTAAGTTTTCTATTATATCTGGCAAGATATTAGGTACTCACCATCCTGTTGTCTTTTATACTCAAATAGATTTTTGATATCCCATTTAAAAAAAAAAAAAACCCACAACCATACAATAATGGAAAGTTAGTTTCCAAATTCTGTTTGGTTCAGCTGAATCACTTTAATGATATATATTTAAGTGATAAGTTGGATGATATCACCCGTAACATTTGTAATATTTATCATATTTGATGGTTGTTATAAATCTAGCATTACTAGAGGATGTATTTTGTTTTGGTGCAAGACACCTTAATGCCCGATATCTAATGTGATGGTGTAAGAATCTTTAAAGATTATTGAAAAATTAATGGGTGTGCTGGATCAATACCGAGAAATGGCCTAAAGGATGAGATTTGTAACTGTATACCGATAGGATATCTATTTGTAGATGTCTGGATTTAATATTGACACAGGCCCCTAACCCTAAATAGTGTGATTGGAATTCAATAAGTACCTAATCGAACGCCTAACCAGATCTGAATCTCCAATGATAAAGCATAGTTAGCTTTCATTTCTTGAAACACTGAAAAATGTTTTCCTTTCTTTAGATAATACAAAAGATTGTTGCTAGTGACTAAGAATTTTGCAAATTAAATGACTGTTGGCAAAATGTATCCTTGTGATGAATGGATGAACAGAATATTGAACCAATTTTGCGTGATTGGTAGCAGTTTGGTTTTTCTTTACATTTCTATCTGTAACCCATCACACAATGATATGGGACTTTTGTACTACATGTAGAATAATTTCTGTCAAAGGTCAAGTGAAGGTAAGAAATATCTGTTCAAATGTCAAGGTCAAAAATAACTGCTCAAATATCAAGGTCAAAAATATCTGTTCAAATGTCAAGGTCAGAATTGATTGTTCAAGATGAAGGATTGAATTTTACAGTAAAATTCCCAAAACAATGACCTCATTGTTCTTCTACTTTTTCGAGAGCTACAGTTACTGAAATGGTTCATAATTCAGCAATCTGCTTTTAAAATGGAGATCTTACATCTGAAACACAAAATATGTAAAAGAACAATCCTGAAATCATTCAATTAAAATTACAGAGATTTTTCAGTGGTAAATGTTTTTTATCCTTTTGGTTTTAGTCTTTTCAATCATATTTTTTCTCTCATATCAGTTGCTGTTTAGAACCCAATCATTAAACTGAAGATATACTCTGGTCCTATAAGGATCTCATGTTCATTCACCATGGTAGTTTTTAGTTTAACTTGTTTCAGCTTTGAAGTTTAAAAATTGCAGAAAATATCAAATTTAGAGATTATGAATTATAAATGTCTTGGTTCCTTAACTAAGTAATGAATTACCTTCAGCAAGCGAAATTGAGTTAGATAAGTTTGCGAATTAAGTACATTTGTAGTAAATGTTTCTGATAGTATTTCACAATTTTAATTTCCAAATGGTGCCAGGTTTTGTGGAAGTCAAGATTAATGAGAGATAGGATATAGTTGAAGTGAGATGATGTTAGACCCCCTCAGAGAATCAAGGTCATTAATATGTGTTAAAAAGTCATCATCCAGTTGTCTCCCTTTGGGTGTAAATCTTTTGATTATTTGGTTGAAAATGAGATGTCTTATCAGTAGATGTTAGCTTGGTACAAATCAGACAGAAAACTATAACAAGGCTGCAATGGCTTAATGATTTAACTGGAAATGATCAAAATTTTAAGACAAGAGCAAGAATTTATGTGTTTATGTAATCAGTTCTTATTTATACAATATTAAGATGTCGTAAAAATTTTCCTAAACTTACATAAAGTTACAAATTGTAATCAGAACAAAAAATGTTGATGATGCTTGTTTTAAAAAACAGGGTATTATGGTTTTAAAAGTAGCAGATTTTGTAAAAGCCCCTTGGCAATATCAGTGAATAAACATTAGTTTCTTTAATTTATTTTTCAATTTGAAATCAAGTAAAATGTAACGTAGATTCGATGAGAAATAGAATGATGGTATCAGATGGTAAAATGGTGTGATAGCTATATTATCAATTCAGGTGTCAACTTTTCAATCTATTTTATATACTGAACCAGAGAAGTAGATCTTTTCAGAATTGGAGTGAAAATATATCTCCTCTCTATAATTGTACCGCATTTACCACAAATAGTGCCTGCAATTTCAAATTCATCAGTATTCCTTATCGTCATGGATACTTGCCTACTCTGTAACTGTTTCTTAAGATAGTTAATTAGTTTTGGAAGATTTTGTGTGTTCTTATTAGTCTGGAATTTTATGAGTCGTGATGCAGTAATCATAATCTAAAGTACTACACTGTTGATGTGGTAATTTCAGAATGAGGCTGCTAAATAGAGGAAATATGGTTCTGAAATCCATCTTGTAAAAGTTTATATAGATGTGTACAAGTGGACCAGATTGTCATCATATATATAAAATGTAAACTCGCGTGTTATTTTAATTTTAAATGCTGATCAAATGGAAATCTCATATTCAACTTGTTTTTTTCGGATGCTGACATTTGTAGGAATGTAAATATACTTAATTATTGATATACATTACAGGTTACCAGTATCTTTTTTATGATACTGTGGTGAAGATATTGATTGGAATGTCAATAAATTCGCTGATGTACTAGATATTTTCATCCAAATATGACAATGAGGTCGAGTGGAATAGGTCATTGCTTTGCAAAAGGCATATTAGGCTTGTGTAGAAACTTGTGTGGATGGAGGTAAAAAAATTGCCTATTTTTTTTTATAGATGTATAGAATAAAAAAATTGCCTATTTTTTTTTTTTTATAGATGTATAGAATAAAAAAATTGCCAATTTTTTATAGATGTATAGAATAAAAAAATTGCCTATTTTTTTATAGATGTATAGAATAAAAAAATTGCCTATTTTTTTTATAGATGTATAGAATAAAAAAATTTGTAAAAAAAGAAAAATAAAATATTGATTTATTCTTTGTATCAGTTAAGTAAGTCCTTCTCTATATAAATCATATATGAATGTCCATTCACAAACTTTGTATATGACAGTACAGACAAGCTAATTGTCATATTTTCAAGGCAATCTGCCTCTTTATCAAGACACAGGTATTACATTTATTACATTAATTACATCACATACATAGAACATAAAACAAATACAAAGTGTTTAATTTTACTCGAGAATGATTTTATTCTTTTGTAACCATCCAGCTGTTAAATTTCACTTTCGGATGAAGAACTCTCATCAGGTAGATTTTGTTCATAAATAGCCCATCATATATACATATAGCATACCAACTTCAGAGGCAATATTTCATCTTAATATCTGTTGTAATGTTTTTAAATGTCTTAGTTTGGGGTGGATGGGTGTGGGGAGTTGGTAAGGGGTTTAGATACGGATGAGGGGTATTTTGTAGATTAACAGTGTTGATAACCTTGACCTCATGGATGGATGGGGTGGATGGTGTAGGTGGGATTGAGTTGATTTGACTAGACCATGCAGTAATATGGAAGTGATTCAAAAATTAAAATGACATTGACAAGTTTTGATATTCCAGGTCCAGAATGCCACCCGTCTTGCTACAACAATCGGACCGGAGAGCGCCACTGCTGGGGGGAAGGTCGTGACATGTGCCAACAATGTTAGTATGAATTGTTTTTTTTTTGTAGTGTTTTATTGATGTTGTCAAACTGTAATTTTTTTTTTGCGATAAAAGATTCAGTTTTGGCTTCATTTTAGGTCTTTTGATTTTGGCTCAGGTTTAAGGGAAGCAATTTAAGTATAAGATGCCAAAATTATCTGTTACATATTTATGTATTCAAAATAAAATAAGTATAATTGAGTTTATCGTTAATTTATAAATAAGCCTCATTTTGAAAGTTCGATGTGACAGGATTATTTATGGAAGTAAATTAAACAAAGAATATTTTCATGTTGCTCCATATGTATATTAGTGAAACTATTGAATGAAGGTGTTTGAAGGGAATTGAAAAGCAAATATATTCATGGATTTTCACTTGTGAGCAGTTCTAATACACGATGTGGAAAAGATGTTTTACATAGATACAGTTATATAGTTTTTAATTCTAAATTTATGAGGACAAATTTGCTGTTTAATTAATGTGTATCAGATCCCTTATAAAGCATTGCTATTAGGCTTATAATTAAATAAGGTTACAAACTTTGAGTGCAAAAATGGAATTTTATTTTTTCAGTGAATCATGCTACTGTGTGTTCGCCAAGTTGTGATGGACGGTGCTTTGGTTATCAACAGAATCAGTGTTGTCATCCTGAATGTGCGGCAGGATGCTCAGGGCCTCGGAAAACAGACTGCATGGTAAAGAATATGTCCATAACTTCTGTTAAAAATTTAAATTAAGCTGGCATTACCTGTCCTCTAAACACTTAAGCCAAAATAAAATAGAGGAAAAAAAAGGAATTGAAGAATTGTTTTTGCCTGACCAATTATCCTTATCATCTTTTAAAGTAGATAAGGTTTTAACCACTACTTAACAAGCAGTTTAAATTTTTTTTATCTGGCTGCATTTTACTTGTAGTAAGGGAGCTAACTCCTAGAATCAGATATGGTTTATGATTGAAGAAATTACAATAAAAATCAAATTAGTGCTATGAAAGAAAGTTTCATATATCACATTTTTTTTTAAGTGTTAGACCTATATAAAAAGAAAATAAACAAATAAAACAAATAATAAAAATGCAAAAAGATATAAAAAATAAATAAATAAATAAAAAAACTGGATCCATGAAAATTATATGCCTAGAATATTTTGATAGATAAGTAGTAATTGTCACATGGTATATACAATTATATATGATCTAGATATTTATTCTTAATTTGATTGATTTTGAAAAAGAAAACAGGGACAATCCTGAAGAATCCCTTTTAAATCTTAAATGGAATCGATGTAGGAATTTCGTCTTTTTTGTAGGCATGTAAACATTTCATGAATGAAGGCGAGTGTGTGCAGAATTGTCCTCTAGTGATGGATTACAACCCATTCACATGGAAAGCCGAGATAAACCCTAAAGGAAAATACAAATATGGCTCTTTGTGTGTTGCAAAGTGTCCTGGTAAATATCTAAATCAACTACACCAGTTATTTCAATAACTTAATGGCAGCTGACATAAATAGTTTAATATTTTTGTGATGGTTTCATAATTTAATTTCTTGAAATCCTACAAATTTATAATGTATAATTTCATATTGGAAAAATACAATATGAAACACTGAAATTATATATATATATTATATATATATATAAAAAGACAAAAAATGATAATTTTTTTTTTCTAAATAGGATAATTTGTTTTTTGCTCAGTGTATTATTCTTTGAGTGAATTCAATTTTCTTGTTTTTTTTATAGACCACTTTCTACGTGACAAATATATTTCTGCATGTGTGAAAGTTTGTGGAGAGAACAAACATGCTGTAAACGGAGAATGTATTCCCTGTGATGGACCTTGTCCAAAAAGTAAGAAAAGTTGATTTGGAAAAATCATTATTCATTTTCAGTTTTCTGGATTTGATATTTAACATGAACACAATGTTTAGGGATTAATAGTTTTTTTTTCAATTTGTTGTTGCATGTTTTTTTTTATAACAAATTTTGTTATTCTTTATTGTCAATCTTTAAGTGTAACAGCAATAACCATGAAATACTGTTCTGTTATGATTTTCTTCAGGGTTGATTCAAAAAGTACATAAAATTTTTGAAATTTGAAATTTTTTGTTTGTTTATTTCAGATTGCAAGGGACTTAATAAAACTGAATTCCTGACATCGGAAAACATTGAACGCTTGAGTAACTGTACATTGATAGAGGGCAATCTTAAAATCGTGGAGACCACTTTTACTGGGTACATTATTGAATTATCTCCCTTAGATGAACTGATATTACAGTCTGTTTTTTGTGTTATTAAGTTTTACTGAAGCTATGTATCCTCTGTGACAATAACAAACACTTTACTTTTTCCAAAGATGGTCGCATGAAAAAAATGGTTGTAAACTTGATTTAAATTCATTTCCATTAATTTTGTATCAATACAAATTTAAAATAACATTAAAACGAGAAAAATGTTGGATTATTCTAGTTTTAAAAGTACCAGAATTTTTTTCTAGTATATCGGAATTTCATTCTATCATTAGTTTGAGCTATTTCTTTAAAACTATTGTTATCAACTGTTTTGTACACAGAGATACATACCGAAATATTTCTGGGCTGGAACCTAAAGACCTCTACGTACTCAACACAGTGAAGGAAATCACCGGTTTTGTCATCATTCAATCAAACCACTCTGGCTTCAAAAACCTCTCGTTCCTGTCCAACCTAGAAATAATTCGAGGCAGGGAAGTGGACGGGTAAATACAAATTCTAGAAATTTTGTTTTTGTATATGTTATGTAAGCATCTAATTTTACTACTACTTAAATGTAAACAAATGAAGCTCATATACAAGTTATGGTATGTATTGAGGGTTTTGGTCTTTCATTTATTTATTTATTTGTTTATTTTCATTTCAGGAGGAGTAATGCCCTCAACATCATGGCCACACCACTGGAGTCACTAGAACTTACCTCCCTTAGGTTGATCTCCTATGGGAAGGTCCTGATCTGGTTTAATAAGCAGCTTTGTTATGCGAATACAGTTAATTTCACAAAGTTATTTGTCTTAGGGGATCAGACAGCATATGTTGCTGGTAACAAAAACATCGGTCAGTGTGGTAAGTGTCATGTTTGCAAACCTTTCTTGGCTTGGTGCTGTGTCATGTGATGTTTTATTCACAAAAATCTGTCCTCTGTAGGATATCTATTGTTTCATTTGGTCCAATGATCATGGAAACTAGAAATCACATTTTGGCTTAAAATTCCATGCATGATAGTTGAACAACATGCACAGTGCCAAAATCAGATTAAATTTGTCATGTGATGTTATTTGGTATCTTCCTTTGCCAAGGTTAGATAATGCTGGGATTACCACCCTTTTTGGATGTGTAATGATTTAAATGAAAACCTACAAAATAGAGCTATAGTCAAATACGTAATCTAAGACTTTGTATATAAATAAGGTAAAGTTCTCATATAGTGGTATAAAACATAAGTTATCTCCCTTTTGAAAGACTAACAATCTCAAAAATTTATGTGAATTATCACCCCTTACAGAAATTGAAGGTCGGGTGTGTCACCCATATTGTTCAATGGACGGCTGTTGGGGCAGTGGTCCGGATAAATGTCTGTCATGTAGGCACATGAAAGTCAACGACAGCTCAAACCTGTGTCTCAAATCCTGCAATGAGAAACCGTACCTGTACCAAGAATCAGCTACTCTGTGTAAGCCTTGCCACAAGGAGTGTGCTACAACTTGCACTGGTCCGGTAAGTGTACATATGTCACAGGTTGGCATTGTAACTCATGCATCTGTAAGTCTGTGGACAGAAACACCTAGATCATGTTTACAGAAAACTGATTTCATTTACATACAAATTAGTGTTATTTGATTAAGCCATTCTTATCGTTGAATCTAATTTTCTTACCTTGAGATTGCCCAACATTTCATGGTCATGAAGCATGTTACCCTATGTTGTCTTTCATCTTCTGTTCTCTCATAATTGTTTTTGCTGTTCATTTACTCTTTTAATGGATGCAAAATATTTGGCAATTTATGTGAAAGAATTTAAAATTTTCACACAAACAGTAGGATCAATATTGGTGAGCCTTGTTGAATTCTACTTGGAATATATATGTATATACATATATATATATATACATATCTATAAATAAAGCTGCTGAAAGGACTTTGTTTTTATTTAGATTTCTTAATTGATCCTGCAGGAAGGACTTTAGTTCTATTTCATTAGTTATATGTACATTTAGTATCAGGGCTAGCAACACTTATAATTCCCAACTCCCAAGACCGCTGGTAGGGGCATACATGTCAGTGCTGTATATATAGTTTTTGATATATAGTCGATGATTTATAGAGTTTTCAACAGTAAATCTTACTGAATTGTCACAATGAGTATTTATAAGATCCTGCATGTTTTTTGGGAGCTGTCATTATTTCCACCGATTTTTTTTCTCTGATTTTTATAGAAAGCCTGTGATGTTTGTATGTTGCTGGTAGGGGCATACATGTCAGTGTTGTATATCTAGTTTTCATATATATATGATGATTTATAAAATTCTACCGATTTCTTTGTTGATTTTTATAGAAAGCCAGTCAATGTGATGCTTGTAAGCATGTGATTGTCATGATCAGCAACAGTAGTAGTCAAGCCTGCCATGAAAAATGTCCCGACATGTATTATGCCGATGAGAAGAAAATCTGCCGAAGTTGTTATAAACATTGCGCAGGAGGGTATGAAAGAATAAAACAATCAATATATCAATATATTTACAAAACGCGAGACATTGATGTCCATTTCACCATAAAACAAGTGTAATTCAGTTTTTAAAAAAAGTCTTTGTAATGCAATGTATATTTCACCACATGTTTTGATTATAATGGTAATGTCAGATTTGGCTGATTGTCCCACAGATGCACAGGTCCTTCCCCGGAGGTGATGATTGGCGGTTGTAATACGTGTCATATTGCGGAAGAAATCAAGGATGATCTGGATAACAGAATACATCTCAATTGCATAGTTGACGACGAATCAGATTGCCGTAAAAATTTCTATAAAACAACTGTTGCGGTCAAAGATCCTGGGCCTATGGCAGGCAAACAGGTAAAATTAATAGATTTTTTTACATGAATTAATGATGTTTGTAATTTTGTATAAATCATACCTATTTTCTTTATAGAAATATTGAAAATGTTAAAAAGATTTTATTAAAAAAAACCCTGAAAATAATGATTGTGAGAACATGTTTGACAGTGTCATTTTGATTTTGTTGGCACTTCCACAGGGTGGGTTTATTACCAGGGATTGGCATATATGTCTGGATTAATGTAAGATATCAATTAATTTTCTTCAAAGAACTTATTCTGTGTAATAACAGTGCTGCTTCTTTTAACCTCTTTTCTTAAATGTTGACCTACTTCCAGTTATGTAAACCATGTCATCCCCTTTGTGATGGATGTGTGGGACATGGCCCAGCCCAGTGTAAGAATTGTGTCCATTACAAAGAAGACGACTACTGTGTAGAGTCTTGTCATAGCTTCAACTTTGGCAACAAGGTGACAAAACATTGTGAACCATGTGACGCTGAGTGTCAAAAGGGATGCTATAACAAAACAGCTGCTGACTGCTTCTCTTGTAAAACGTACAAAGTCTACATTGAAGAAGGCGATAATTTCAAAGTATGTATGCAAATCAAGATAAACAGTCATTCAAAAAGCATATGAAGTTTTCCCGTAATCTCTCGAAATGAAAAATTGATCAAATATAATAAATTATTTCATTTTTAAATCATATATGATGATAGCCTCTTACAAATTTCTAGAAAAGAAAAAAAAGAAGTTTTCAATTTTTTTTTTGGAAATGTTACACTTTATGATATAATCTGATTAATATCATGTGAGTTAAGTTATTTAATATTTTCGTGTATTTATCGTTACTGTAATACAGGAGCATTTTCGTTGGCTGTGCCCGTTCCAAATCTATTATGATGTTTTGATAATGGACGATGATGTTGTGTCATGAATTTAAAATGGTGCTACAGAATGGCTACTTTTTTTAAAATCTTTGATAAAAAGTATCTTCTATTTGTTTTCATTTCATGAAAGATTATACAGAAATCTGCTTGAAGTTTCGATTTTCACTTGCCAAGGCTCACAAAAATTAAAGCATCTAAAACTCATTTCACGAAATCTCATATGAAAGGAAAGCTCACTTAAGATCAGATATCTACGTAAAAATAGTAGACATGGAGTGAAATATACCTTTATAGAAATATATTTATTAACACAGAGATTTCAGATCACAGTATTGTAAAATAAAAAAGATCATTGGTAAGAAATTGTGTATTAGGTTGTACAGTTTGAAGGTGTGGTAAGAGGTTACTACACTGACCTTGTAATGACCTTTTGTTCTTCAGTTCAATTGTACGTCAGAGTGTCCAGATGACATGCGTCACCTTGTTAAGGATGAATATGATACGAAGAATGGGATGACGGTTTGCGCACGGGATGATCATCCAATGGTGATGGCAAGAATGGCGGCTGATGCGGAGTACGTGACAGAATTTTGATAAATTTATAGATGAAAATATTGTATTTAATACATACAAATATAAATCTATTTAATAATAAATTAATAGATAAAATGATGTATTTAATAATACAAATATATATCAATTTATTGCTAAATTTATGGATAAAAATGATGTATTTAATACATACAAATATAAATCTATTTATTGATAAATTTATAGATAAAATGAAGTATTTAATAATACAAATATATATCAATTTATTGATAAGTCTAATTACATTAGAATCGTTGTTATGAGCAACCGCATTCATATGATGATTATAATTATGTAATTATTAGATGGTTGTAATTACATAAACATTACATTTACATGTTGGTTGTAATTACATTAATTTTAAATTACATCATAGTAGTAAATTTATCATGGTAGATTGACGATGTCATGGCAGTAATTATGTGTTGATTGTAATTATATTTGATTTACGTACACAGGTAAGTAATTAATGCTGTTTATTACAGTTACAATTTAACATATTTCAATGGTATTAACATAATGGTTATGGTGATGGCTATTTTAATTACATGTGACACACTGTTGTAATTACATAACAATGTAATTAACAGGGAAGAGAAGAAGAAGATAGCAGTTATTGCAGGGCCCGTAATTTTTGGCGTAATCCTGGTGGCTATTCTCCTTGCCTTGTTTGGTTACTATTGGCGACAGCAAGCACGTTCAAAGGAGAAAACAGCAATGCTGACTGCCAAGATGACTGGCTATGATGATGAGGTATGCATCTTTGTTTATCCAAATGCAATGCATTTTTTTACACAACAAGGTTGAATAAACGAAACATTAACCATATTTGGTGAAAATTCATCATTTTGCTTCTTTTTTTTTGTCACTTTTTGGATGAATTTAAGACGAAAGGTTTTCTGGGAAGGCAAAAATGAAAAACACACAAAGCAAATATTTCCCTATAAGAAATCTCCATTGACATTCAATACTTTTACCTAAAGAATAACATGAATGATTTACAAGCGTCATAACAGACCCTTATGAAATTTAATTTTCCTACAAAGCCGGTTACACCAACAAGTGCCAAACCAGATATGTCACATCTGCGCCTTATCAAGGAGTCAGATATGCGTAGAGGAGGGATCATTGGATCTGGAGCATTTGGAACAGTGTACAAGGTAAATTTAAACAGTGTACAAGGTAAATTTAAACAGTGTACAAGGTAGATTTAAACAGTGTACACGGTAAATTTAAACAGTGTACATGGTAGATTTAAACAGTGTACATGGTAGATTTAAACAGTGTACATGGTAGATTTAAACAATGTACAAGGTAGATTTAAACAGTGTACAAGGTAAATTTAAACAGTGTACATGGTTGATTTAAACAGTGTACAAGGTAAATTTAAACAATGTACAAGGTAAATATAAACAGTGTACAAGGTAAATTTAAACAGATTTTAAACAGATTTCATCTTTCTTGTACATGTAATGGAGTTTCCAAACACAAAACTTCTTATTGTCTTGTAGAGTATGCTGAGTCGTGCTTCAATGAAAATTACATGAACATGATCATCGTCATATTTACATTAAATAGAGTCATAGAACATTAGGGATTTAATGTATCTTATGTATTGACAATCCCAACTGTATTTTAATCAAGTTTATTTTTTACTGTTTCTATTGTCTTAATTTTTTAATGATAATGATGTACTTTGGGTTTATCTCAGTATTTCTGCCTTGAGTCATTGACAAAGAGAATATTTTTCATTCATTTTTTTAGGGATTCTGGATTCCAGCAAAAGACAATGTTAAGATCCCGGTGGCTATCAAGGTCCTACAGGAAGGAACATCAGCCAATCAGAACCAAGAACTCCTGGACGAGGCACGTGTGATGGCCTCTGTCGATCATCCATGTTGTATTCGAATTCTTGCAGCCTGTATGACAGCTCAAATGATGTTGGTTACACAGCTCATGCCGCTTGGATGTTTACTGGACTATGTCCGCAAGCACAAAGAAAACATTGGCTCCAAAGTCCTCCTTAATTGGTGCACACAGATAGCTAAGGTATGTAATGTTTGAGAATTAATAATCCAGGTTTTACAGATGATGTTGAAAACTTATGGTATGATGTGTCGCAGAGTCAGAATGAAAGTCTCGCTTCCCTTCTCCATATTACACTATAGACATATGGCAGAACTGTGTGGTTTTCACTTATAATGCACGCACATTGTTATAGATTCTGTGATTGCATCTCAAAAGAAGACATTGACAAAAAAAACATCAGCTGACAGGGATTCAAGTAATTACCATAAAACGTTAATTTCAAGTGTTAGTCTACCACCTCAAAATATGTGTTTGTTTTTGGAATGAAATAAAAAAAAAAACAGGTTGGAGTCGTTCATTTAAGTTTTCTTCTGGCTCGTTAAGATTGATATCAATTAATATGACTTTCTTGTGTAGTTTGTCAATTATATAACAACGTTATATTTTCTTTACCAGGGAATGGCCTATCTAGAGGAGAGAGATATTGTACACAGGGACCTGGCTGCCAGAAATGTACTAGGTCAGTTTTCAGTATATACATTCATTGACCATCTATGAGGTAGACTTGAAGTGTTATCGACCCAGATTTAGGTTAACGCTATGTGATTTGTGATTCTTCATTTCATTAATTCTTCATTTAAACCAATATTTAAAGTAGACTGTAATAACAATTTTTCATGTAATTATGTAGATTTTTTTATCTGATGAAATATTATCTCTGATGCACATTGAACATCATAAAAATTCTTGATATTTCTTTGATTTCAGTACAAAGTCCCGGTCAAGTTAAGATCACTGATTTTGGGCTGGCCAAACTTCTTGATTATAATGAGGATGAATACCACGCAGCAGGGGGAAAGGTAGAAAACTCTGACAGATTAAAATAACAATTTGTTAAACCTTATTGCCATGTATATCTACATTAATCCCGGGGGGCTGAAACATTACCTCTTACTAAAATTCAAGGTGTAGGCTTATTGCCAGATATTGTCGACAATGCTGCTGAAAAGTTATAGACAGGGGTGGGCTTATTACCAGACATGGGTTTATGAATTACGAATCTAATTTTATTTCATTTATTTCCTTCTACTGTAGATGCCAATCAAATGGCTGGCTCTGGAATGCATCCAGCACAGAATATTCACCCACAAAAGTGATGTCTGGAGTTACGGTAAATATCAGCAACTTCTGATGATGATGAAATATTCGTCACAAATGTTTAATTATTACAGTAGATTAATTAGATCTTGAGTCAAACTCAAAGATAACAAATATTCTTCATCAGATATTTTAAGATGACCTTTAACCTTTTTTTTCTCTTCCTATAGACTAAGAGAGAGAGCTGAATGGTTCTCTTGATTAGTGTTACATTTTATAATACATACAGTTTGAGTCATGGATAAGCAATGCAGTCTAGACCTTAAATAAAAGATTCTTGAAACATTTCCTTAACTGATGTTGATATTATGATGAATGACCTTTCCTTACAGGTGTTACTGTGTGGGAGCTTTTCACCTATGGACAACGACCATATGAGAATGTTCGTGCAAGAGACGTACCAGATCTACTAGAAAAGGGGGAACGACTCCCACAACCACACATCTGTACTATTGACGTCTATATGATAATGATCAAATGTAGGTTTTTTCCCCCCCTTTTCTTTGCCATTGTATGGTTAAAAAAGATTATCAATAAATGTTTTGCCTTTTATCCCTAAGTCCAATCCATTATTTTGCTGGCAAATCATTCAAATTTAAATATTCAGTATTTGAAAGAATTTGAATTCACTTGAAACCAAATAATCTTCTTCAAAACGATTGTTTATGCAAAACATCTATATAGTTACATGAATAGGTTCATCAGCCCCGCTACATCCTGAAATTGATTAACTATTTAAGTTTCAAACTCTATCCTCCATTTAATTAACTCAATCTTTCTCATTGACTCTTTCATTTGATATTGTTAATTAAAACGTAAAAGAAAAGCATATATACAGGTATCTTTTACAACAGTCTTTTCCCACTTAAACGTTGAGTTAATAAAAATGTTAATGTATGTTTGTTATGAAAAATATTTCAATATTATTCTTTAAGGCTGGATGTTAGATGCAGATAGCCGTCCTTCATTCATAGAGCTAGCTGAAGAGTTCGCAAAAATGGCCCGTGATCCAGGACGATATCTTGTCATTGTTGTAAGTATTTTCATTGGGTTCATATTCATCTATAAAAACTATAAAACTGACAAATATTGGGAATTATTCAATTATTTCTTTCAAAAGTGGTCATATGTGATTGCTTTTATTTTTCTAACAAAAAAAAAAAAAAAAAAATCAAAAAAGTTATATTAACACTAAAAAAATTTACACTGAAAGATTTACACTGAAAATTATGTTGTCTTAGCTACCAATTGTAATTTCAAGGTCTTGAGTATTTTTCCTTAAAACATGATAATTAAATAATTTGGTTGTAGGTTACTGATATTGAAAAAGATAACAAATTTTGAGATGTTCACATCAAGTTTTAAATATTTCATTTTCGAATTTTTCCCAATATATCAGAAAAAGGTACCGGCAACAGTCACCTGCTTTTTCTAAACCTAATTTTTTTTTATTATTTGGTTGGTGGATTTTTCACTTTCATTTTCTTACATAATTACTGCCTTTATGTTTGCTTTTAATACTTTAATTATGCTGTGCTTTTCAAAGTTTAATTTCCTTCTTTTTCAAATTTTTACTTTAGTTCTGCTGTTCATATAACATGGGGCAATATTGTAGAACACTTATGATTCGCCAAAAACTTCTCCAGTGTTTAGATTTAGTCTCTCTGCTCTTGCTAAATTTTATCCAGGAAAGGTTTGCAGATGCAGCAGTTAGGTTTAGAATTTTCATATAATTTGCTGATTTGAAAAACGATGTGATGTGATGTTTTCAATATTCCATGAAGGAACAGAAATTTAGTTGGAATATACCTCGATCAGTTTGGAAACCGTATTCAAACTGACATACATAGGAAAAATCAGAACTTTGTGCAGATATTGATGAGAAGGCAAGCTGTAGAAAAAGTGCTGAATTGATTTGCTTTTCTGTAAAAATTACTGAGTGGTTTTGCAAGGAGAGATATTTCTGAAAATGATTTCTCACCTGTGATATGATCCTGATAGGGCGACGTTTTGAAGAAAATTCCTGAAGAAACTCCCTCACCCGTCACAGACCTAGCCGAATATTTCCCCGAGGGTACCCAAAATGACCCTGAGGCTCAGGCAGAGGTACAAGCCCGCCACAAGGGGGCGCATGTCATGCATGACTCCGTCTCTAGTTTGAATGCATATGTGTTCTATATTTATCTCCCCTTACTCACCTGTATCATACATATACACATGGTATTTTTAGTTTGATTGGCTCGTAGCATCGTCCAGTTAGATGAGGGGGTTTGTAAGTTTAATATAAACATTTTGTGCCTTGACATTTTGTTTGATAACTCTCGATGGTTGGTATGAAAACATTTTAAGACAAATTGCTGCGATTATGAATGAAACTGAACGTAATGGAATGAGGATCCTGAGTTAGTTTATTTATAAAGCCAGTGTATTACTTTAGTTTAATTAATTTTAACAGCCTATGTGAAATTTAAGCTTCATTTAGATTTTACAAAAAGTTATATACATGTATCTAAATGAAAATTTAAGAACTGAGATTAGATTAAAAAAATATTTTACAAATGAAAAATTTATTTTTGGGGTATGTTGTGTTTCGGTGTAGATTTCCGAGCCAATCAGATTTAAGAACAAATTGCATTTTTCCTTGCATGGATTTTTATATTTTTTTTGTAACCATGAGAACCTTCCATTGAATATTTTATTATTTTGTATTCCAACCATGATGTGATTTATTGAGTTTTTGCAGGAAAAAATTCTGTCATGGCACCCATAGCTACAAATGTGTTGTACATGGCAAAATGTGATGATGTCATCAGCTTTTGTGGTTGATATGTCATCAGTTTGTGTGTAATTGTATCTCTTTGTTTTTTTGCAGCTTCAGTCGCTCATATTGAATGCAGATATTAACTTGATGTTCATTAATCTTTTATTGTGATAAAATAATTTTTTTAACACCTGAAGCTTATTCATTCATAAATATTACGTAGCAAATTAGTTTTAGGAAAAATTATTTTTAAACATGGGGTTGTTTTTTTGAAAATTTTACAATGATAAAGTAGTGATATCAATGTTTTATAAATTTAATTCCATGCTTACAAATTTTTGATCTAAAGAAATTCCCATAAATAATAATCTAACACATTTCATGCATGATGTTGTGATTAAGTATATGTAGGCAGTACCTTTTAAACATTAAGACTTTTTCTCCAATTTCAAAAGTACATTAATTAGGACTAAAAGATATTTTTTTCATAATTTGCATGAAAAGCAGTGTCTATAGATTTTCAATTTTTTAAAATTGTAGGTTAATGTAATGCATGCATTGTTATAATTAGCTGTGAATTTTTATTTTCCCAATGCCTAATTTTTAGCCATATTAAATGGCTTCGTAAAATAAATGCTAATTTAAGAATATTTATAGTGTTTATATCCATAACCATGCATGCTGTAATATTTACTTGAGATAAATCACTAAAAATAAAATTGAAGATTTTTGAGTGCTTTACTGGAGGTTTTGTATCAATATTTTAAGGTTTTAGTAGATAATTTCTCACAGAATTTTGATGGTATGAATTTCCCCAGAATTTTCTGAAACTAGAATGCTGTAGCGTGTTTTTACACGATATTTTGAATTGAAAATTAAGGAATCACCAATTTGTTTTATCATCTATAAATTGTATAAAATTATTGTTTATCTTTAATGGAGTACCCAATTGACTGTTCTGATATTGTAAATGATTCATTTTCTGTATGTACAATGATCTTTATAGACACCAATAATTTCACACTTTCAGTATCATTCACATATCCTTTGAAATATCCATTTATTTTGCCTTATGCATTTCTGATCAAATCCACAATATATATACCCCACTCAGTGATGTGAATTAAAGGTTCCGCCAAAAAATTTCTTTCCCAACTAATTGTCTATTCTATGATATTATATCTCATTAACAAATTGTACTTCATCTATAAGTATGAATTACAGTTATGTTGGGACAAGGCTTGTAACTATTGCTTATTCAGTTATTCGTGTGGTAACACTGTTGTACAGAGCTGACATGACGAGTCTTGTAGGAGACCATATCAATATGCTACCTTAGTGTTCAGTTAAGTTCTGAAACCACTGGAAATTCTAACAAAGTTTTCTAAAGCCCCGACTAAAGAATCCGAAATGACATATACTTACCTAAATCAAACAGTGATCCTGTTACTAGTCTTATGACCAAAAATACTCCAGGGCACTTCAAACTCTACACAGGATGCATTCCTACAGCAAGAAGCCTATCTTGTAATGAACACATCCATGTCTGCTGCAGATCAATAGAAGTTCAAACAGATACTGTTTTAGTGTTCTGTAATACGCCCATTTTGTGCGTTATATTTCATGTGTTGACCCCTGGGCTTATTGTGGGATAAACTGATTATACTGATTAAAAACACATACATTAATGCACTTGTTGGGTTCAACATCATATTTCCCCCGTTTATCTGTATTTATGTAAAGTAGATGTCTTGTTTACCTTCATGAACACCAATATAGAGGGAGTACACTTATCATGTTTGTAAACTTAATTAATCTTTCCCATTTAACTTTTCCGGGACTTTGCAGCCCTGCTAACTGTCATGCACAATTTAGTATATTACTACAAAGGTTCTTAAAGTACTTACTTGTTATTACACGTTGACAGTCCTTTCTTGAAATGTTTTACGACTTGAAGTCAGTAGATTGTCACATCACTATATATCTTAACGTCTTGTAATGCGTAATTGAAATTGAAATTTTTTTCCAAAACCGTGATTAAACAGATATATTAGAAATCAGAGATATTGTTTCAAAATTGTTAAAATTATTAAAACAATTTATATATATTATTATTTGTAGTAGATTTTATAAGTTGACACAATTCCAATGATATACAGTAGAAATGTCTTAATTTCTGAGGTATTAGATCTGTGCATTTTGAAAATTGATACCGTATTTGTTGTAATAAACAACTTTTTGTTTCTTTTCTAAGATAACTCTCTGTCCTTGTCTCTTTTATCAATGAAAGCAGGAAGAGGCATTGATATATTCTCAACACTGCTTGAAAAAACTATTTTGTGGCGTGGGGGGATCTTTAGGTCAATTTGTAATGTATGTTTTTTTCAGAAATACTCTGATGTTGTAGTTTTTGAGAGAAAAAATTTTTTATGACAAGTACGGTCCCTCAAAGTAAACAACTAACTTTGGATTTAGAAGTTTGCTGTGAAATGTTTTATTAAATATTTGAGATTAATATTGATGTTTGAACTGCATCTTAATTGGCTGATTATGTTTTAGCATGACAAGCTGATGCGATTGCCAAGCCATTCATATGACAAAAACGATTTAGCACGCAGCCTCAGTGTGGCGGCTGATGGCCCTGAGGAAGTTGTGGAAGCTGAAGACTATTTACAGCCGCAGTCTCGTAATTCTGGGGTTCCGACAACACCAGTCTCGTCAAAGGTACTTTTTTCTTTTTCACAATATAAATGTGTACCATGTTAGTATTTTGGTTTATATATAATTTGCTTATAGATTTTGATCCTTGTTGTCAATAAGGCTGATTTTAAGAGCAAAAGAACCAATTAATTGATAACTTGTTTTCAGTATTTTTTTTCACTATTTCAGACACCATTACTACATCCTCACGATGCAGCCACAAATTTTGATATCAAAGACCGTGACCCTCATATGCAGCCACGGAGAGAAAAAAGATATGGACATCTGGAGTCCGCAGCTGCTGCTCGTAAACAGCGAGAATTATCTCCCACCAGAGGAAGAGGAAATAGCATCAATTCTCGTTACAGCTCTGATCCCGTCCAGTTTTTTAGAGGAGGAGGTAGGACTATGACGAAATCCCTAGCCTGTGTTTTTGTTCAGTGATTTTTAAGGGGACAGTTGTTCGCAGATGAATTATATTTAACTTTTGACTCAAAACTTATTATATACTGATAAGGTTTTCTGTCTTTTATTTTCCTCAAAATTTCCCCCCAATATTTTGAATATTCATGTGTTTACCAAAAGCATAAGGCAGTAGCTAAGTATTTTTCATAGAATTCGTGACTGTGGTTTCTTCTGTTGACTAAATTTTTAGGTATATATTTTGTTCAATTAGAACCATTCAAAAGTAGGAGTACAGCATGCGCGATAATTCTAACATGTTTGTAGAGACACGAGTCTTTCTATTGTACCTCCATGGAAGAAGAGTTCAAATTTGTTGCTTGTATATTTAATTTATGATGAGTTGTAAGAAAGTAAAGACAAATATGCAAAATTTTCGCAATCCTATCCCTGAAAAAGAAATCTTTAAGAGCTCTGGGCCAAAGATTTGTGGAGTTATCTGCAGCCCTGCTAGTTACTACAGATCAGTAGAATCAGGATGTAACAGTGTTGAAATTATGTACCTAATAGCATCAGCTGCAGCGCCGATAAGAAGATAAACCATCTTATTTAAGGACAGAATCATTTGGATTATGAGAGATGACAATTTATTCCTTTGAACGAATGTCAGGATCAACAAAGTAAAATACTGACTGTGAAAGTAACATGGAAATTCAGATAAATTGATGTGTATTGATAATCAAAAGATTCAAACAAAATTTTTTAAGTCAATGTGTTTATATTTTAGATGAGCCTGAAGCTGTGATTATGTCTCCAAGTCGAAAAAGTCCCGTGAGGAATGGATCCATGGGTTACCCAGACCCTTCTCAGTTAATAGAAGCTGGGAAAATCCAACTCCCAGTGGATGAGGATGATTACTTACAACCAAAATCATCTAAACCCAGACTGTACACAGATCTTATAGAGAATCCAGGTAAGGGAGATAACTCAGACTATACACAGTTGTTATAGAGATTACAGGTAAGGGAGATAACTCAGACTACACAGATCTTATAGAGTATCCAGGTAAGGGAGATAACTCAGACTGTACACAATTGTTATAGAGATTACAGGTAAGGGAGATAACTCAGATTACACAGATCTTATAGAGTATCCAGGTAAGGGAGATAACTCAGACTGTGCACAAATCTAATAGAGTATTCTAGTAAGGGAGATAAACCAGACTCTCTGCAGATCTTATAGAGAATCCAGGTAAGGGAGATAACTCTGCCTGAACATAGATCTTAGAGAGTATCCAGTTAAGGGTGATAAACCAGACTCTATACAGATCTTAAAGAGTATACAGATAAGGGAGATAATGCAGACTGTACACAGATCTTAATAATAGATGATTTGAGGAGAGTTTTATGAACACAAAGAACAAAACTGATATCGTGTTTTATCAAATATCAAAAATGAATTTTGGTTTTCAAAAATATTCATTGTTTTTTCTTTTATTTCTTCCCAGATTATATGAATGACAACTGTGTGTTTGAGAATGAAGCACCTTCAGAACCAGAACCCGTCCTCAATTTTGAGAATCCTGAATATTTTGATGATATCAATAATCCGCAGATTAATGGTAAAAAACCTCCAGCATGTAAAAACAATCGCAGTCGAGATTACTACAATGACTTTGGTGATCGGAGCAAGCAGCATGGAGAACTCAAGCCGTTAATGATTTCTGACATCTCTCCGTCAGAATCTGCTGTGTAGTGTCGATCCGAGAATAATGACATTTTGTCATTGATGCTCCTAATACTGCCAAAGTTCTGTGTAGATTTGAAACACATGGTTGTGTTGGTGTGTTTGTACTGAGCAGAAAAAAGTCAGTACAGATGTACCAAGCAGAAACGTGACTGCATTATCAACTATATTGTAGACAAAATCTCAGAAATGATTATGTGATGGATTCTGATTGGTCAGTTGAACTAACCGGAAAGGAGGAAACTTTAGATCACCCATTCTGATTGATACTTTTTGACCTCCAGTGACCTGGTGGACCCTAGTGACCTTTAGTTAAGACCAGATGTAAAACGTGTGGAAATCAGATTCTCAGATTCATCATTGACATATCCCTGAGAATTTCAAAATGTTAACCAAGTTGTGATAAGATTTACATGTGTAAATAATCTCTGGTCACCTGACTGATTAATAAAATCACATGACTGAATTGGATATCTTTGATTTGATTGGTCGAATAGCTCGTAAAATGTGCCATCTTTTCAAAGTATATATTTTCTTTCATAAGAGACATAGAGTGTAACTTTGAAAAATGAACTGGATAGTGAAACTAATTTGTGGTACACAGAATGTGAGTTGGACCAACGACAAAATACTTTGTGTTTCATCACCACATCTGTTGCTATAGCAACCAAGATTTGAGTTGTGCATTACAGTGTTGAAATAATTTGTTATTCAAATGGAAACGCCATAATACTTACAAGAACATTTATGTTACTTATAAAATGATTGTATCGTATGTTAATGTGACAAAATGGCTATAGTTATTGTATTATATATCATGGCCTGATCATACCTTTGTGTTACTTAGATTGGAATGAAAATGTATTTTTACTTGCGGAATATGCAGCAATTAACAGTATAAAATTTATGAATGTTTTCCTCAAATGAATAATAATATATTTGGTTTGTTGGAATTTCGATATGAAGATAAAAACTCTGGCTTTGTGATGACAAAAACCCACAAAAACCCAGAAATACTTTTCAGTCAGTGTTTTTATAGATATGTGAGAGGTTTAAAAAAAAATGCATCTCAAGCGTTATTATGCAGATAGAATATACAAGAGTTATCAATCTTTGATGTGAAAGGGTTATCTCCCTTTCAGCAAGCTGGTGTTGTTGGACAATTGATATTTGACCGGACTTTGTATCTATGCAATCTATGACATTTATCAGTATGAATTGTTTTTGAAGAGTTGATCCATGCACTTGACAACATTCTACTTCTCCTTGTCTGTTCTGTTCAATATACCTGTTTCATAGAGACATGAAGTCTACATTCATTTTGGAAAGCTTAGATAACACCATGAAATTAAAAAAAAAAAAAAAAAAAGACTACAAAAAAAAAAAAATTGTGAGAACTTAAAAAGAGATATAAATAAATTAAAAAGAAAGACAAAATGGAAAAAAACAAAAACAAAAACAAAAGAAAACAGATTATCTGGAAAACAAGTGAAGGTATTTCATTGTCATGTGATATGTATGTACTTCCTGGTGATTTGATTATGGGGATACATATACCAATGTTTGTAGTCTGTACTTATTACTGGCTGCAAGACCAATAGCTAGAAATGTCATCAGTTTTAACGAAGATATTTTAATTCAAGCTTTATTTCAAAATCTTTTCGAATTAAATATTTCACTGTAAAAAAATCTTGTAGATTTTGTTAACTCATTTGAAAGAAATTGCATGGCTACGATTTCTTTGACAGTAAAAGACAACTCAGATTTTTGTTATTAGTAAAATTCATAGTAAAAATTCAAAATTGTTTTACGATAAAATATGTCATCGTTAAATGGCATAAAATTGTCTCCTGCTTCACTCATTGTGATATTATTTAACAAGAAGTGCTGTTATAGAAATCCATTCTGTCCATTTTGATGGCCTGTGATTGATATGATATAGAGAGTTACACACAATTCAGTCCCTAGTTACCCAGATATGTGTACTTTTTAAGGGTTCACAATTCAGTTTTGTATACAGGCATGGGATCACAATGCTCAGAAAGATTTTTCTAAAATTTTAGTTCTGGATGAAATTGTGATTGAACCCCCCTTTTTTAGTTTTTTGTTTTTGTTTGAGGAAACTTTCATAATCATTCATAATCGATATAATCTATCAAAAATCAGACACTAGAAAAAACAATTAACTGCTTAATCTTGTATATTCTGTAAAGAAACAAGAAAAATTTAACGAAAACTCTTGAACATTTTGGCTGAACTCAACACAAGGTGTGTAAGGAACTTAATAAAACCATGGAGGACTTGGATGTCCATTTATGTCTGTGACAAAATAAAAACATCAAAATGGTAAAGCTTTCCCACCTTGCTATGCTAAGTATGCATATGATTTCATGAATATGCATGAGATGTCATTATTATGCATATGGTATCATAAATATGCATATGATGTCATGAATATGCATAGCAATCCCTGTAAAACTAGACTTGGACACAGTAAAGGACAAAAAGCTACCTTGAAAATTAAAATGGTAGCCTTTCTTTTGTATTTTTATGAAAATTTTTGCATTTAATTTTTGGTAAAACAAGGAAAATTTGAAGAATTGAAAGATAATATTTAACAGTAATGAAAAGAACTGGAAATGAGGTAACAGTAGGTGATCATGTCCTTGAAATTTTATTTGTGTATAAATGCCACGGGTTGTAAATCAGTGTTGGGATTAACAAGGTTGACTTTACATTCTAGTAGCGTAACAATACGCACAAGTAATCTGAACAAAAGATGTATTTCTCAGGTATTTCTATTGTTGATTAGGTCATAAAGGTGATTCGGCTAGCATTGTTATACAGTCATTCTCTTAATGTCATTTGATTATTGATTCTTTGAAGATCAATTTTCAATTTCAGAAAAAAAATCCAAATATTAGCTTTGTTTTTTTTATGTAACTGTTTTTACTTTGAAAACACAACATCCTAATTGAGAATGATTATGTAAATAAGAGAGCTTAATATGTTAATGATTTCAAACATAATCAATTATTAATTGATAATTTGTCCAATTCTGTACTAGATATCCGAACAAATTTCAGTGGTATTTTTACTATTCAGTATAAATATATAAGAAAACATATTATTGTATTATGTTAAACTCCATGATATACAAAATCTACAAAGTAATGTTGGCCTTGACTAGACCACAGATAACGCATGACTTAGGTAACAGTTGTTTACTGTTTAAGGTAGTGTACGCTCCAGTTAATGTATGTATATATACAGTGTATATATGATTGTTAAACTGTTGTTGTTTTTGTCCTTATTATAAAATATGCATGTGATAGAAACAAAACAAAGAAATAATTAACATGTATTTATATGTTTCTCAATGTTAATACTTTGTACTTCATTTTAACCATCATAAATTAGGTCAAGGTCAACCATGTTTGACCCTTTGGAGGTCAAAATGATCTATTTTGTCTGCATAAATCTAGACATAATACCTTGGTCGTTGTATGTCTGCTTTCATCTAAAAATAACTTTTTACTTATTGCCTTTTTGATTTTCATTCATAAAATCATGTCTTCCATATGTTTCATGTTGAAATCATGTGACCTCAAGTATACCACAGGAAGTCATGTGATATCAAGTCATGTGACAATGGCAGAAGATCTATTTTTTCTTCCATTTCTTTAGGAGAAAAGGTTTTTGAAGTGATATCATTATAAGGAAATATGTTGTTTGAAATAAGTTGGTTTTAATGTAAGAAGTAAGAATTCTGTTTATGCTTTAACAACCATTCTATCTTCCCAATACCTTAAAAACATCTGATATCTGATGTTTCAGAATTCTTAAATCTGTTCACTTCTTTGTTGTTATCAAGTCTGTAATTTAAGAAAAGAATTTTTGTATGAAAAATGGAAATAAAACAATTTATTTCTCAAGTAACTGATATACCAACTTTTAGGTGAAATCACAATAGGCACTAACTATAATGAATAAATGGTTTAAGTCATAAGTTTTTGAAACAATCTGTGGTTGTGTTAAGAATGATAAATAGTGTTTAAAGTATTGAAATCATATCAAAGAGGTCAATTTGACTAGACCAGGAGCTTCATTTTGGACCAAACGTTTTGATTCGCATCATTTTACATAACGCTTTAACAGAAATTTTGCTTATTAAGAATTTTAGAAGTGCTGTATACAGTTTTTGTGTACAGTCTTCCTGGTACAAGACATGTAAATTTGGTAAAATAAACAAAAATATAAACTAGATTGTTATTTAAATGTTATGGACAGGAAGTCTGGATATAGTAAATAAGACAAATTTTTCTGTGTAGAGTGAAAAGGAAAGATAACTCCTGTGTACTTCCTTATATTGCTCAATGGAGGTATACCTATAAGTGTGGTTTTATTTTGTTAATATTATGTTAAACTCTAAATAATGCAATTAAATGTAAAAGCAAAAAGGATATCATTTTAATGTTTGAAATCCAAGTTTTCTTCTTGTTGATTTAAAGAGATTGATATTGTTTTTTTATGACTTTTATCTAATGATTGTTGCCATGGATACAAATTTGAATTTTATTGATTTGTAGATGTTAGCCTTATTCTTATAAAGATATTTCCAGGTGAACAGAATATCAACAGGTTGGTTAAGAATTGAAAATTAATTTCATGCTAATATTTACAGTGTATTTAAGTTGAAAATGTTTAATTAAAGTACTTAATTAAAATTTACTTTTTTTTAAATATTAAATTATAGTGTACTAACAATATGAAAGATATACAAAACAAACCTATTTTAATGACTCCTGCCCAAGAGATTTAATTCTATAAACATGAAAAAATTTACTTTCATTTCATAAGATGAATTGCATACTGAAAGGATGTAGAGTTTCAAACACTGAAATTTAGAGTAATCCATTTATATTTTTTCAGAAACAATACCAGCTTTAAGACATCAGTATTTGAGATGTGTGTTGTACTTTTCATTGAAAACAAACTTTATCTTGAAGTACCTAAGTAGGCATCATTATTTCATAATTTTTAAATGTCTGTCTAAACATTAACCACAGTGCCATTTGAAACTTTAATCACCATTCATTTACTCTAGTCAAATATTTGCTCAGTTTCGTATTAACACACAAGTTTGAGGGCCAGGTAGAGCTTAGTCAACATAAGACATAATTCTGTTCATGGCAATTTTTCATATAAACACAATTGTTTTTACACATTTTAAAGAATTTATCAAAAACATTTCACAACATGTCTTTTTAATTTTAACATAAAAATGTGTAATGCATGTTTAATTCAAACCGTTTATCAAGTAAAGAATTCCTTGTTCCTAGAGTGATAAAATTATTTAATGTCTCTTAAATGAAGAAAATTCAGATCAATTTATTTTTGCAGACTGTTAAACATTCATTATTTCATGCCCAAAAATTGATAAGGTCTTGGACATATTCCTGTATCTATTAGTTTTTACCAGCCAAGGTACTAACCAAAAATACTAGAAGCAACATGACTTTCACTTCTTAAGCAAAAATTTTTTACTATTTCCAGACCTTTTAAATTTTTGGTGTTTCATTAGTGATGCTAAAAATGTACAAGTTTATAATTTAGCCCTCTCTCTGAATAAACAAGCCAACTTTTTCTGGTAAAGTGGTTTATTTTAGAAAATTAAACTGAATATCGCTCAGAATAATTTCTTTTTCATTTTAGAAAAAGTGTGTATCATAATACTAGTATATAATGTTCTTTCTTGCTCTCATTAATGACTTCATTCATTTCCTGTCAAATTTGTCTCTTCACTGAATCAGAACATGACAAATATGTACTTCAGGTTGTCTTGTGTAACAATAAGTGCCTTAAATGTCAGATCTTTATCTTTTGTATTCCTTCCAGTCTGAGAAGTCTCACTGCATGGTGAGGTCTTAAACCTTGGTCGCTGCATGTCAAATCGAGGGCACTGCGTATGTAAAATCTAGGTCAACAAATAGTTGTTCCTGCCGTCTAATTCATTTTTTGTACCCATTGAAAAAATTATCTTTTTTTGATTACTTATTCATTGATATATAACAGACTTGAAGTTTCAACAAAGCTTTTAGAAGGGAAAAAAAAGTGAAATGGAGGTGGTGGGGGTGGGGGGGATTTTGGAAATGCTTGATGTAAAACTTTCATTTTCTACCTAAAGTCAGGATACAGGCTCTGATGCTCTTGGAACTCTTTAGATATCTATTTCATCAATCTGTTGGGGAGAATTCATTATTATTTATATGTTGATCTGTTGGGGAGTACTCATTATTTAGGTTATGCAATATGTTAGTACAGTTTTCCCCACCATTTAGATAAAGTTTATTCATTCATTTCTTTTTTATGCCTGATAAAAAAATTTGAATGCATTTTATGTCATTTTAACTAATAGTTCAAGTTACTTCAATGATGCTTTGTATTTTTGTGTCATAATTGATGGTTTAAGTTACTGAAATGATGTGTTTTTTAACAAAAACGCTTTGTCACTGTTTGAATAAAATTAGTGAACTCTATCATCGTTTTCATCCATATCATCACTCTCATCGTCACAAATATTTTTGTTTTTATGTATAACGATGCATACATCAAGACTGTACATGCTGTTAAAGTGAGCTTGCATGCTTTACATACAAAACCTGTATTCTAGACAAATTAAAGCTTCAGTTTTGTCAGTCATACAAGATGTATGATATTTTTAAGATAATTATAATAAATTGTTTTAGCAGAAAAATGCATTGTGTTTTATTGTCTTATATGTTCTTGAGCAAGTGACACGATACATTGCCTTCAACAATAACAATCAGTGGACTAAAGAGTTCCGAGGCTTATTCTGTTCATAATTATATAGCTCTAGATGTTTACGACTACTGCAAAACGTCACAACAACTTTTATCTATTTTAGCAAAAAATAACAAGTTTCTATTTATCAAAAGAAAAAGATTACATCGGTACCCTTTAAAGAGGACAAAGAAGACCAGATGTTCCAGAAGGATAAGTGTCGTTTTACTTCATCATTGACACCCACCAGGTAAATCTGGGTCAATGAAAGTAAATTATGTCAAGAAATGTCTTAAAACATTCATGAAAACATATCTTCATCCAGGTGCCAGAGAGCCAAGTAAACGTCTGACTTACAGTGGTGTCCGTCCATCCAAGTGAACCTCCGACTTACAGTGGTGTCCGTCCATCCAAGTGAACCTCCGACTTACAGTGGTGTCCGTCCATCCAAGTGAACCTCCGACTTACAGTGGTGTCCGTCCATCCAAGTGAACCTCCGACTTACAGTGGTGTCCGTCCATCCAAGTGAACCTCCGACTTACAGTGGTGTCCGTCCATCCAAGTGAACCTCCGACTTACAGTGGTGTCCGTCCATCCAAGTGAACCTCCGACTTACAGTGGTGTCCGTCCATCCAAGTGAACCTCCGACTTGCAGTGGTGTCCGTCCATCCAAGTGAACCTCCGACTTGCAGTGGTGTCCGTCCATCCAAGTGAACCTCCGACTTGCAGTGGTGTCCGTCCATCCAAGTGAATCTCCGACTTGCAGTGGTGTCCGTCCATCCAAGTGAACCTCCGACTTACAGTGGTGTCCGTCCATCCAAGTGAACCTCCGACTTACAGTGGTGTCCGTCCATCCAAGTGAACCTCCGACTTACAGTGGTGTCCGTCCATCCAAGTGAACCTCCGACTTACAGTGGTGTCCGTCCATCCAAGTGAACCTCCAACTTGCAGTGGTGTCCGTCCATCCAAGTGAACCTCCGACTTGCAGTGGTGTCCGTCCATCCAAGTAAATCTCCGACTTGCAGTGGTGTCCATCCATCCATTAACTGAATGGATGGTGACCAAATTTGGACAGAAACATACTTGAGGGAAAGGGAACACATTTTGTAAAAATGGTGGGTCTCTGTCCCCCAGGGGCCTGAAACTATACATATGTTTCTAGCTCAACAGTTAACAGATCAAGCCTTCTAAATGAATCTGACAAACCCAATATACTTGTCATGTACAGCATTACACAGATACTAACAATAGTGAAGAACTTCAGAGCAATATTTTGTAT